CAGGGAAACATAAAAACGGAGAGTTCTAGTAACGCACCTACGCAAGAGTGACCTCAAAATTTTACCTACGATCACGCCCCTTTTAGAAAGGTAATGTCGAAAATGACAAATTTTCGACGACCGTGGTAGACGACTACCACTTTTAAACTGATAAAGTCATAAGGTACAACGTCGAGCCGGCGACGAAGAAAGTCGTTTAGACCTTAAGGACAACTTGACTACCATCTCACTCATATTCACTTATTTATAGAGTTCGACTAAATCACGGTGGGTGAAGAAGATTGGACATCTTAGAACTGACTGTCAGGATCATGACACGCGGTCCAGGACGTTGTCGAGACGTGCATCCTGTTGTCACAAAACTCAGACTGCTGCCGTACACGACACACGTCAATAAGCATTGACTACACTTACAAACATTCATAATAACAACCTGCCAATATCGTTACGATAAATGCGCTATTCGGACGGACATAAACATCCCTGCTCCCGCCTGTTTTAACCCGATCTTGTCTCTGACGTGGACTCTTAAGTGAGCTGTTTTGGAATCCATCAAATATAGACACACGACGTGTCGGCGTTGGGTAAGCAACAAGTGTAGACACTACTCTAACTTAAGACTCCCCCGACATGCACGGAGTGACCTAATCAGTGAGTTAACAACTGGACAGAGAGTCTTCGTACTTATTTGCTTCTTTGCTACTCGTAGTCTCTGTTAATAAACCTACTCCGAACTATCCCATACGAACACTCTTGCGACACACATATGACTACCGCCGTGGCGACGACACAATCAAGACCAGTTTTCCCACCTAACCAACTCAGGATTCGTGGAAGATTTGGCTGTCATGAAAGACATCCTGCGTGAACTCCAGAGCCTGTCTCTCAAGCTGCAGAGAAGAGAAATGACACTTGTGGACTCAAGTGTCCACATCAAACAAACCATCAATGTTTTGACCGCCATGAAGAGGACCAGGGGGAGATCAATGAAGAAGGCTGAACAGGGCGTCTCATTGGGCTTTTTTAAGGACGTAGAGCTGACAGAAGGCAGGGGCAAAATAAACAAGCCTCGTTTTTATGAATCGGTGGTTGCTAACCAAGCGCTTAGCGGAATCAAGCTTGGTCCAGACACTCAAAGCTCTTGATAAGCGCTTTTGGCCAGGAGAGCAGGAAGACTTGACTTTGTAAGGCGAACAAGAAGTACACCGTCTGGCTAAATTGCTCGGAGAACCAGCCGGGGAGGCCGTGGGGCAGTTTCGAGACTGGAAATTGCAGTGCACTCCACCGGGCAAAACACTGGAACGGCTATGCATAGCAAGTCGCACTTACCTCCCCACGTCTGCTGAGTGCGAGAGAGGCTTTTCCGCCGTGAATAACACCGACAACCAGAGCCCAACAGGTTGCGCAAGGAGAGCCTGTCTTCGCTTCTGTTTGTGGACCTAAACGGACCCCCTTTGGACAAATTCGACCCAGTGCCGCTCGTGAAAAGCTGGATTAAAGCAGGACATCGTCTCTCTTCTTCTTGGAAACCAGGACGGCAACGAGAAAAAGTCGAGCCAAGGCATCTTTGGTCTATTCTCACTTGAGGTAAAAGACTATTTTTTGTATCTTTGCTGTGCATAATATGAGCGTGTGCGTATGTCCTGTGTGGATTCCGGAGTTAAGAAGAATAGCATAATTAGCCTTGGCGTTCAAGTTGGTGTGTGTGTGTGTGTTTGTTTTTGTGTGGGTGTGTGCAGGCCCGCCCCTCCCTACACGCAGATCACGCAGACTGTGTGTGGGTGTGTGCAGGCCCGCCCCTCCCTACACGCAGACTGTGTGTGTGTGTGTGTGTGTGTGTGTGTGTGTGTGTGTGTGTGTGTGTGTGTGTGTGAGTGTGCGCGGAAATAGCGTATATTGCGCAATAAACGGGAGATGGGGACCCCCCTGATTATTGACGGGTATTTCGCACACTGCATGCAAGCATTTACCTACTGAGATTTTTATAGACTTAGGCGGCCCCCGGGGCGGGCCTACCGGAATGCGTGCGCATCTCACCTCCGTATAAAAGACCTCCTGACCATCATCCCTTTCTCTTCAGCGAGCGGAAGTGACACTGAGCTGTTAAGACGTATGAGAGAAAGTGATAGAGAAATTATTAAAATGGAACCACTCCTGGAACACCGAACCTGTCCGTCGTGCCCTGGCCTGATTGCGGGGGCTGACCCAATCAGCCGGCCTGCATGGCTTGTCGCTCGATCCCGCAGCTAAGCCGCCGGCATCGTGCCGAGCACTTCCGGAGGAAGCTCGGCCCGCAGGTGGATGTGGAGGACCTCGAGGTGGTCGATATGGACGATCTGGACGACGTGCCATTCGAGTTTACCCTCCCGAGGGACCGGGTGGTCGCCTTTGCGGAGGGGGAGGATGACGAGGATGCCTCGTTGTCCGACACCTTTGGTTCCGGTGGCCAGGAGGGTCCAGCAATCAGGTCTGCGCGGCTGGACTTCCCTGCAGTGATGACCCTGGCGGCGGAGCATGTAGGCTTACCGCTCCCCTCACCACTGCCACCGCTGCTACCGCTGCCACCGCTGCTACCGCTGCCACCGCTGCCACCGCTGCCACCGAGGCCTGTAAGCCGCCTTCGGCAGGGGTTTTACCTTCGTCTCGCCCCCGTTGCCAGATATCTGGCAGTGTGTGGAGGAGACGTGGCGGCATCCACTGAGGACGATGGCACCAGTAGCAGCCATGTTGGGCGTCATCAGGGTGCAGGGCTGCTCGGACACGGTGTGTCCGGGCGTGCGCCCCCTCGATGAGAGCCTGGCGGCCCATCTGCTGCCGCAGACAGCCAATGGCCAGTCAATCCCCAAAATAAACTAATTTTGCAGACCATATCCCTCCGTAGTCTTTCAATTAGGAGGAGAAATGCCAGCATTCTCCTCCGGTTTACCGGCACTGTGTAAATTATATAGAATAATTATGGTGATGAATGCATTTTTTTACCACTAAAGTACAGCTACACATCTTTGATTCATGTCGTTTATAACTGGAATATTACAATTCTTATTAACTTTGTCTGTACAAAGTAGCCTGTCCAGGAAATATGCCCAAATCAACAAAAACTGCGAGCCGGCACGCAAGACGCTCCGCTTCTGAAATGCTCTTCAAACGCGCCCGGTATGACGCCAGAGGAGGCCGGACCAAAACGCGAGACGGAGGGAGAGGCGCCGGCACGGTTGTCCCGTGCCTGTAGCGCCCTCCACCTCTTCGGCCCACCCTGTGGAACCGGCGTACCGGCACTCACGGGGGCGAGCTGCCCGACCTCTGCAAACTCCGTAGCAGCAGAGAACGGCCGGGTGGGGCGCTCCGCCGTCACGGAGCTGACTGACGGGGGAGGAAGCGTGTCAACTGATGGCAACTGATTATTTCAAACTCTGACCTGCAGAACAAAAAGTTTTTCAAGAAGAATGGCTCTCACTGATGAGATCAGTCACAAAGTGATTGATAGAAATTCAGCTCAAAAACAACACTTAACACTTTTTAAAATAACATTTCTATCTAGTTTACTATGAAAATGGGCTTTGTCCTCGGGATATCCTATCTTAAAATTAGAAACCCTTACGGTATAAGCCTTAAACTTATCAACGTCATATTTGACTTTATAGTCATGTGATTATCTGTTGCTGTTTGACACGCTAGTATGGGACTAATATGGAAACCAACAAGCGACCATTAACAGACCGTCGTCCAGTTAACGTAATGCTGCAGTACCTCCGATTACCGTAATCCACCCTGTAATATCTGGTTGAAAACACAACAGTATAACCACTATATCAGAAATGACTTTCAATTTATTAAAAGCATGCAGTGTTAATGAATGAACAAAGAAAGGAAAACAGACTCACCCTTGCTTGCTCTAAAACAACTCCACATGGTGTGATTCAAATTTGGGTTGTTTAACATTAAATTAGGCAGTCATTCTCAGGAGTCCAATTTACCAGACAGACACACACTCCTATTGTTTACTATGTAATCTATTGAAGATTTGGAATAAACAGGTACTTCTTTACCTTTCTGTATGGGCCCGAGTGTATATCTGCCGGCATTGTTCAAGCTCCTTTGAAAACTGCAACTGCTCTCCTAGTGTGGCGAATATCACGTCGGGAGTCGCCAACTGATGAAAACTGTGATGCTCCTCTCGCTCCCAGGAAATAAAATTAAAATAAGGAGACCAATGGAGTCTCTGGTATAAGGTTCAAATGGGTACTTTAATCAAGTAACGTGGTAATAGAACAAGCAAAAAGTAATGAAGAGACAAAAGCCGGCGTTGTCTCTGGTGGGGCTGCAGCGAAGAAAAGGGAACAAGCTGTGCTCAGCCGCCTCCTTTTATTTTCCTCCGTGCTGTGGAGAAGGGGGGGCCGCCCGCCTTAGTCTTCAATGTTCGACATCGCGTTAAACAGAAGATTTCGACATTTTACATTAATTGCTTACTTCCACACGCCTTTTCTGCTCCTTATCTCTTTCATGACTTTTTATTTAATGCATTATAAAGGCTTTAAATAGTTACTTTAGTAATACTGGAAGTACTTTATGGCAGTTATCATTTACGGTAGCCCTGGACGTCGTCATATCTACACCATGGATGTATAATAAGAACTGGATATACACACTAAGGTCCGTCATGCTTTTCTGGTTATTACTCGTCCCCTTCTGTGTTATGAAGGTTTTTATGCATGTAAACGGTCTGCAGAGTCACAAACCCTCAAAGTACACCCTGTAGCGAGTAAAACTCTAACACAGAAAATACCTCCCCAAAACGCCTCGTTGGAGATACGTCACTGTCCATTGATTCTTCCGGGTAACGCATGATGTCAACCGTACCCGGAACGAAATGGACCAATCCGTGGAGCCGTTACGTTACGTCCGCGGAGCCGTTACGTTAAGCCCCCGCTGATTGGTCCAAATTGACCAATCCACGGACTTACTCACACACACACTCAGTGCATGCAGCTCTGCTGATTTCTCCTCCCTGGCTGCAGGCTGATAACAGACAGTTGGGATCGTGGTGAAATTCTCTCTGCAGACCCATTCTCACAGCGTTTATCAACCTTTTTCTTACTCAATATCAAGCCACACTTATTGTTTTTACTTCGGCTGTGACTTTGTGTGTGCTCAGGATGAGTTTGGCTGTGTTTCGCTGTGTATCGCTAAACAAGGAAACAACACCTCCACGGAGCTCAGCGCGATTCACAACGTCCCGACCAATCAGAGCACACTGTGCTCACAGGGAGGGTGGGGGCTGGAGCTACTGGAGCTACAACGAGCCGTTAAAGGCAGAGAGTGAAATTCAGTGAATACACGTAGTTTACAGAGATGCTGTATGAGAAACCAATGTGAGTTTGGAAAATTGCACAATATAAATCTATTCTAGTAGACCTCAACAATGGAATTATGATCAGTGGAAATGGCCATGACATGGGACCTTTAAATAAAAGTATTGTTGTGCTGCATAAACGTCTTGGCTTGCAAAAGAAAAAGTGTGGTACAGACCCATCATCATTTATGATATGCTTTTCAATACAAATCAGAATAATAATCTTAAAATAACTGTCAAATTTAAGTTATCAAATATTTTTCTAAATTGTGCAGCCCTATCGTATATTGTCTGTTATAATCAATTAATTATCTTAACAATTGTGGCAAGTATGTAAAGTTCTGATTATAGTCCACATAAACACTCAGAACATTAGTCTTGGTCTATATAATTATATTTTTAGTCTGAGAATTTCCCACATGGTGTTGTTTCTGAGGATGTTGTTTGAAAATATGGACCTGAGCATTATAAAACAAAACATGATGGTTGACTGGCTTTGTGTTATTTCCTTGTAGAACAAAAACACTCACCTGAACCAGGCCATCCACGAGGAGCAGGAAGCCATCTTGGAGCTCCGCGTGCAGCTCCGCCTGATGCAGAGCCACAAGCTGCAGCAGGAGCTGACCGTCCAGCCGCCGGCAGAGCAACCCCCGCCCGCTCAGCCCAGCCCAGAGCCCCGCGCAGAGGAGCAAACCAAGCGCTCCGTTGTGGCCGTTGTCGCTGGCGCAGAAGTTGCTGCCTCAGCCAATGGCAAAGCAGCAGTTAAGGATCCTTCAAAACCCTCACCGAACAAAGACAGGAGGGACACCAACATGTGAGACGTGTTGGTGCTGCTGTACGTCTCTGGTCAGTTGTCCTGTAGAGTCACTGGAGTCTCACTTTGCTGGAGTTCCTCAGTAATAGTGTCCACCAAGTGGCTGGTATGTCTAAGGCGTCCTGACTCTTTAGCAAACACAAATGATAATAATACAAATTAAAATAGCTCTAGTCGACAAGTGGCTTCTATTGCGAAAGACCAGGTGGAGCGAATCAAATCCACAGTGCCAAGCCTGTATGGAGAAATGAAGGGATACATAAGTAGGGGAAGGAAGACAGTCAGGCACCTTGCCAGTATCAGACATAACGTTTATTCTTTCCTGGTAAGGTCTCATGAAACAAACACAGACCATACCATAGTCCCTGTATCTCACTATGTCCCTCACCTTAATGCAAATTAGACATTAGGAGCGAGACCACTGTGCCATAACCGAAGATGCCAGAGAACCACTAATACAAAAGCTCTTTGAATAATGAAGAATTTATGATTGGTCTGTCTATATATTATATATTTAAGTAGTATTCTGAAGAATACGATGACTATTCGGAAAATGCATTGATTTTAAGTTACAGCTTTTTTTTTAGTAATATATGAATATGTAAAGATATATCGTAGGTGCTTTCTTTTCTTTGAACGGTAGATGCACACAAGCACAGTGGCGTTGTACCTCGCAACTGACCAGTGGATGAAAACTATTAACGGCAAACAATCGCGCAACTAAAAGATAAATCATCACTGGAAAATGTAGACAAACAGCTGGAGGCCGCATTGTTACAGTCACACTTTGCGGTGGTGTGCAATCATCTTCTCTGCCTCTCTTGCACAAACAAGATTTAATGATGAAATATCAAATCTGTAGTGATGATTATTGTCGCCAAAATGTGTGCGGAGACACGGAGGCTTGTCTAGTTTTGTTCATGTCTTTTTTTTTTTTTTTACTTGATGTTCTGAGTTATTGTTCATGGCATCAGTTGGAAGTGAGTAAAACAAACCCTCAAGATTACAAGTCAATCATTTCATTTCACAACTGATCCTTGACGCGCAAAGTACTGTCATTGTTCAGTGATATTTAAAGCAAAGGCATGACCTGACTAACTTAGCGTTTGTGTATATCATTGTAAGATTGCAAACATACTGTATTTTCAGCTCTTGTGTTTTGTCATGTTATTTGTCTCGTTATTAATGACCTGTATGGAGTATGCTAGTGTGAATGCCCCTGCTTTGGTTGCGGGTAAATCAAGCAATCTCATCTGGACTCATGATTCTCCGTGTTATTAATCCTGTGACTGAAACAAATACATGCTAGTTTGGGCTCAGAAGCTTCTCATGAGGTTATTTTCATATTGTTCCAAGCTTTTTGTAGCTTATTGTTGCAGACAAAATAATGCTGTGAAGAATAAAAATGTCGATCTAATAAATGTACTGCATATTTGTCTCCTTCTCTGACACCCTATATTTAGTGCTTCCTATTTTCCATTACACATTCAAATACTTATGTCCCCTCCCAACCTGAGGAGGTTTTACATAAAACATTTGCACAACATTTGCATCCATTTTGAGGAAGTGAAGCACGTAATTGTCAGTCTGTGTGATTCAAGCCAGTGGTATCTAAAGGCCAAGAGATAGTGGAACCACCCCATTGTTTTTGTGTCAAGCTTTTTGGTTTCCGATTTGGAAAGTAGATGCGTCAAGCAGGAAATACACAGCCAGAAAAAGACCGGATACAAGAAGAAAATGTTTCAAAATGAAAGCTCACCTAAAATGTTCAGACTGTTTTGGCATGTTGTGTGTTTTGTCCTGCCCTTTTTAAATCACTGAAGCTAAGTGGAAATAAACTTATTGATAGATGAGTCAATTCAAAACTAGTTCTATAGCCTCCTTATTGAAGCACAAACATACATTATATATGTCTATGCATATTATTATTATTTTAATGTCTCCTTTCAATCAATAATGCATTTTTCCCACACTTGGACCTTTGACCTTCTCTCAGCAGAATAATGTACACGCAACGTTTGAAACAAACTTTTCACGTATGTATGCCAAAGGGAACCCATTTTCCTTTGAGTTCGAGGCACGTATATAATCATATCATATTTTATTAAACACAAATAGTTGAGCAGCCAATAAAAGTCCAACTTAAATACACAAGCGTAATTAAATGTTTGAATCCTACAGTGAACATACATCAAGAAAGGACTTGCATGATGCATTTATCTATACAATTGATTCTTTTGGAGGAATATAATATAATAAGGAAGAAAGATTTGGTACAGCTTTTAATATAGTGTAGGTCATTTTTGGGTGGAAAAGCCATCACACACTCATTATTATTCCAAGCAGATTATAGCTTAAAATGTCATAACTTGTCTGGAAGCTATTGGAGTCTTATTTTGAAGGGTCCCACCGGAAGTCTTCTGTATAACGGATACATCTTGACAGCAGTTCATGAGAGATGGTCAGTCTGTCTGTTTCAGGGGCTGGGTTCGTCTTCTACCTAAGAAGAGGAAAAAAAGTTTAAAGCATGACGAGACAAAGACACTGACTGAAAGCAGACAAATAATGATTTAAAAACCACCACAACTCACCATGGCCATAAGGGAGCTCAAAGTTTGCCTTTTAGGGGTAAGTGGAAGATGTTTTTTGTTGATACACTGAGGGAAAACTCCTTAGCAAACTGTTGTTAAGCTAGTTGACTGAAAACCAGGGCGCAGCAGTCATTTTACATTTCCTTTTCATCGTCTCTTTTTTGTTACTTTTAATCGTTTAACTGCCGTTTCCTGTTTGTTTTTGTCTTTATATTTTTAACGCCTGTTGACAGTTTATAGCCCATTACGTCATTGTCATACCAACCGTTACTAGCGAGCCGTTAGTTATATTTCCTGCTGCGTTAGCAAAACTGCAGTCTGTTTATAGACGGTGACAGGGATGTCCAGGCACTGTGTGTTGACTACAAAGTGGTCGTCTATCAATGTATTAAAGGAGAAATGAGAAGTTGTTACAGCTACAAAACCATTAAACAACTCAAACTAAAGCCCCTCTTTCAATCCTCAAGAATCTGAATCAGAGAGGAAATGTACATTGTTACAGCAAGTAAAGTAGTTTTGCACAACAGGAGTGTTATAGTCTTTGTTGTTATCAGACCCTTCTCTCTGCTTCCAACACCATCAGCTAACTGTAATTTTTTTTGCCAGTGAAATAATTTATCACTCGCATCATTCACTTTATTAGGACTACCACTTAGTGCCACTATAAGATGCACTTTTCCTCTTTTTGTGTGTATGAATTGTATGTTGCACTGTGTATGGTGAGTGTTAATGTATCTATTTGCCGGTACCAAAGACACATTTCCATTATATGTGCATTTAATGGACAATACATTTTTCTGAATCTGAATCAAACCTTTGGAGTCAGCCACAGGAACTGACAAGCTCAACAAGCATTTTAATTGAGGACCAATAAACTGTCGTCGCCTTTATACAGTCTTTGATCCTCACCAGTCTGTAGTTATAGCAGATTGCATTCATGCTTTAACTATGTAAAAATAGAATTACATGTAGCCTATGCCTTGATTAAAAGAAAGGTAATATTGAATACTAGAGTCTGAAGATACTACATTACAACTGAAAATCCTTTATTTAAGAAGTTTTATCAGCAAAAAGTTATTGCAAATCAAAATAAATCATTTACAAATACATGTAAGGGTACTTTCATGTTGTAATTCATTAACAGGGGGCCACGTTAACACACTATACTGCTGGTTAGAGAAGTAGTACTCAAGGCCTCCTGGATCATATCATATCAGCATATCACATGTTGTAAATGTAAAGTTACTATAAGTATCACTTAAATGTATTGGAGTGAAAACTACAATATTTGCTTCTGAAATCGAGTGGATCAGAAGAAGCAGAACAGAAAAATGATCAAGTATAAGTATGTCAACAGTGTACTAAAGTACAACACGTACTAAGTCAAATTGAGTGTCAATTGAGAGATATTTGTGGAATCTGTGCGCTAACAGGAATCTATGTTGGGCTGAGCATGTGACCAGACCTGATCGATGTGGTTCAATAACGAACAGTGACTCTCTGTGTGTGTGTGTGTGTGTGTGTCAGGAGTGCTGTGTGTGTGACTGATGTGTGACCCTCTGTTTTCAGGACACTGGAGTTGGGAAATCTAGCATAGTTTGCAGATTCGTACAGGACCATTTTGACCACAACATAAGTCCCACAATAGGGTAAGAGCACTGCGGTACAAATCACAAAACACATGGGAAAAGCATGACACAACAAAATCAAAACAACAATCCAATCAATCAAAACAACCAAGAGTCAGTCAGCTGTGCTCCGGATTTTTAAAGTTCCAAATTAGGTCAGGGTTTAATATCAAATCTAGTCCAAAGTCTAAATTAGCAACACTCAGTTTGACCATGTGAGTGACTTTTCTTTTTACAATAAATATAATTTTAAATACGTATCTTCTTCTATATTAATGATTGGGTCAGCTGACATGATGACAAAAGTATAACTGATATAGGAATAAAAAACAATCCTCATTACCAAGAATCATTTTTAACGTTTATTTTGTTTTTTTTAATTTAAATTTTTTTTTTTTTTAACAGACATTGCTCCAGATAACAAACCGTACATCAAAACATGTAACAACAAACAACTAAACAAAACGTAACGGGGGAGGGGGGGGGGGGTGGATGCAAGGATGACTTCCTAAGACAGCTGATTGTGACATACACAGGACATTACATACACAATACATTATACATTACACAGGAGATGCCATATTGACAGGGTTAGATAGGAGACCTGCGGACAGTGAACCGCAATCCTCCTGTCTCCCCTCAAAATCCCCCAGCAGAGAAGCTGCACGCTCCATGTTCAGTAGGTCCAGATACTCCCTCAGCCATGAGTCCCTAGTAAAGCAGGCTGGTTTGCGTTCCTTCCAGTTTAATAGGATGAGTCTTTTTGTGGCTAAACAGCCCAATGTCCAGAGCCGATCGGATCATTTTTAGGCTAAACAGTTTGATTTAAAGCGAGGACAATCAGAAATTACCCCATCTTACAATTAAAATAAGTTTCATTGCCATGTAGGTTTTTACATATAAGGTATTTGATTTGATACATTGGAGTACAGTCTAAAGACATACACATTAAAACACTAACATATTTAATAATAATGTCCATGTTCATTTCCTAGAATTTGTTTAAATACTCCATCTCCCAAAAGTAAAGCAGAAAATATTCCTGAGTCTATGAAACCCTAATGGTTTACGCATATTTTTGCATATTATTTGTTTAAAGCCAAGTGGAATTTGGTAAAATTCCCAAACTCGCATGAATACAAAACAATAGACAAATACCAATTTTTGAACACACTAACAAAAGGATAACATTTCACAAACCGTGAGACTGGTAACATTTGTCTGAGAGAAGTTGAGAGGAATTTATCACAAACAGTGATGTCAAATCTAAACAAGCGTTAGCCTACAGTCATCGCTGATTATTGTTCTGGCCCTTTGTTGTTCCGTGGTGGTTTTGTACTGCCTGTGACCACACACTGCCTTTGTGCTTTCAGGCAACAAGCGTTCAGTGTCCACCATCTTTATTCTCAGTGTTATTTGTTTCCTGCTGACATGTACAGATTAGCTTCCTGTGCCTTTTGAATAACATGTGTGGAAACAACGTTGTGAAATGCCTTTTTTTATCTCCCACAGAGCGTCATTCCTAACCAAAACAGTGCCATCTGGGAATGAACTCCACAAGTTTCTGATCTGGGATACAGCCGGACAGGAAAGGGTGAGTGCTCACACAAAAGTAGTTCCTAATTCAATTATTATTAGCTTTACTTTTTACACATGACAGGACTTTTAAAACATCATTTTTCATTTTAAACGGTTTATTAGGAAGCTATCAGCGACACAATCATTTACCTGTCAGTGGTCCCCATGACATAGAGTTATTATTAGGTGTAAAAAGGGATGATTACATGGGTCCAGAGCTCATGACACTACAGTATCATCACTGTGATTCATTTTATGGAGGCGGTGGTTAACACAAGCGAGAAATGCTTACAGCGTGGAAAAACTATGAATTTCTTGTTTTATGTGAAAAGGATATCTTGAAAGTATTACCAGAGTTCAAAGTTCTCTTTATTCTTAAGACTACTATTATTACACACGTGACTATCTATCTGTATGATCCTTGGTGAACAACAACATAACATAAAGTTAAGAAATATTCATTATTTGAGAAAACCCTGTCACTACACTTGAACATCACCAAATGTCCTTTCTCTAATCTCTGTCTTCAATCAAAAATACACTAAAACATCTTCGCACAATCTCCGTACATGTGTTGCTTAAGATGTGATGAAGTTTATTGTCAGTATTGGATGTTTTGTCATGAGCATGAGGGGATGTGATTCACATTTGTGCTGACTGCAGTTGATGGTGGTGATGTGCTGTAAAGGAAGCTAGTGAAAGAGAGGGGGTTTTATAAGGTACACAGTCAGTGATCTACCTAGAACAGATGGCAAGCCCCCAGTTTGGAGAAACAGACTGGAGTGCAGGCATGAAAGCTAAGCAGATAGTACATCTAAAATAAACAAATATATTTTAGCCACCTAACAAAAAGTGTATAGTGTATGCTATATTGCAACAGTATACAGAAATATTACCTCTTTGTGGACATTTTCTACTCGCAGAACAGCATACTATGTTAGTATTTGATGGGTTGACACAACCTCTTTAATGTTACGATCAATATTTAAGATTGCGTTTGGTTTAAATGTTGGTTGATATTTGTGTGTGATTTGAAATATTGATTGGGCTTGCTAACTTCTATAAATATTTTCTCTCTTTCAGTTTCATTCATTAGCTCCTATGTACTACAGAGGATCGGCTGCTGCTGTCATTGTCTATGATATAACTAAACTGGTAAGAATAACAACACGCGTATCATATTTAAATTCTTCACATCAAGAGAGCAACTTAAGCTTGTATGTTAACGTCCACAAACCAGTGGACAAACCCCCATATGAAAATGTAATAACTAATCTTTTTGCCTCATCTAAAAAGTGTGGTACCATTGGAGCTGCTGTTGTGTTCAGTAACTCCCTGGTTTATGAAATGTGTGAAGCAGAAGAAGCTAGTCTTACTAAAGTTGATATCACTTTTCCATCACTCTGAGTTGCTTCGCTTCAATGACCTACACATGTCATTCTTTCCTGTTCTGTTCGTGGAAACTGGTCTGAAAAGCGTAATGTATATTCTCATAAAGCTTCCTTCCTGAGTTGACCGTGACGTGCTCTTGTTCAGGACTCCTTCCAGACCCTGAAGAGGTGGGTGAAGGAGCTGAAAGAACACGGCCCAGAGGACATCGTTGTAGCCATAGCAGGGAACAAGAATGATTTAGGAGACATCAGGTGAGCACATGGTCCTTTTCTTAGACTGTCCTAACTGTAAAGTCATGGTTTCTCATGGTGATTATATTCATCTCACACATACTACCAGATAAAAGGCTTATTATAAAAGTCATGCGTCCCATCTGAGTTTATTCAACAAAGGTTTGAGAGCTACCTTTGCAAAGGTGTGCCATATTTTTCTCACGAGCCAATCAGAGCAGACTGGGCTTTTTTTTTTAAAGAGACAGGTGCAAAAACAAAGCATTTCAGACAGAGGGGAAGTGCAGGTATATTCACACAGACAGTATATGAAAGAAGTGCAATTTGAACATTAAAGCAAATATAAAAAAATTCTGCACAGCCACATTTTTCATACTGAGCACAAACAAAAGTAAAATAATGTTTTTGTAATACTTGTTATGTTGCTTCTTTCATCTGTCATGTCCTCCAGCACTCTTCCAGAGACACTAGTTATAGAGATGAAATTCATTGATGAAAAAGTGTATTCACTCTAGGACCAATGTTAAGGTTGAACCTACTACATTATTTACTTTATAGTGTCCTCCTCTTTTTCAGGGAAGTTCCTATGAAGGAAGCGAAGGAGTTTGCTGAATCCATCGCAGCTATTTTCATCGAGACTAGTGCCAGAAATGCTGTCAATGTTGAGGAGCTCTTTCAGAAAATCAGTACGTTTCATGTCTTTACTGCATGTTGTTTCTGTGCCATGTGTTATCTGTGAAGTAAGCAGTAAAGAAGATTTGTGCTGTGGCCAGAGAAGCCTTTCAGTAATACTGGAAGCTGTTATTTACATGGTGTTTTATTGTTTGCTGTATAATCCCATGGTGGTGGAACGCTTCAATTGTATGACCATTACAAGATATTTTTGCTAAAATGTGGGGCAGATAAACACCATTATATTTGTCTTTGATAAAATTATTTATTTCCCTTAATTACATTTTCAAAATACATTTGTTTCATCTTCAATTGAATTCCTATGTTTATTATGAAGTATATACACAGAGATGTTGTTCATATATTATTTATACCCTGATGTATTCCTAAAAACATGCTGACATTTTTCTTTTGAATAGCTGTTGACAGTATTACAGACCTATTGAGATATCCAAAATTCCTTATATAGAAAGAGACCTGGCTTTTTTCAAAGTTTACAATTCATTTGAATATATATGCAAATGAATACATATTTTATTAGATAATGCCTCATTTTATTCAAACTTAAACGTGGGGTAGGTAATTCACTTCAGAAACAGTTTTTGTTATATTCCATGGAATGCTCTTCAAATCCCGATAGCAATGAATATATTAAACGCTTTGACAATAAATACATAAAAAAACGTCATCTGTGGAAGCCGCGGCGCTGTAAAAAGCACGACCAATCATCTGAGCCGGACCGGCTAAAATAACTGGATGGCCTACCTGCCTGTCAGCCTTCCATCTGTGCACAAACTTATCTCGTGCCCTCATTGGTCATGTGCGCGTTCGCGTGTGTTGGAGGAGGGGCTCTGTAAGGAAGTCTGAAGGAAGGGGCAGATTTTCTTCGGCTGCGTACTTTCAAATATGTTTCAAATTCTAGCGCACTCGAGCTGGTTTCTCCTTTCTTGCCTACCCTACCTTTAACATTTAAAATTGTAATACAAGATTTTATTCTAGTAATATCAGTAATTAACTGGCTTAGTTTCAAAATTATACGTTTTTTTGTTACATTTTTTAGCATATTCACATGTAGCGTCTCCCCTTAAACTTATGTAATAATAATACATTTGATTTCTATAGTGCTTTTCAAGGTACCCAAGGTCACCTGTTATTAGCAAAGCATGAAACATAGGAAGTTTTTTTTAGGCTAAGTAAGTAAATGTAATGAAAATAGATCTAAAACAAAAGTTTGAAAAAGTGAAAACAGTAAATAAAATCTGTCATTGTAACTCTGTAAACGACCCTGTGCTGTGTTTTTAGGTAAACAGATCCCACCCCTGGAGAACCACGAGGATGAGACGAGCGAGTCCTTCAAACTCTCCCGACAGCCGGCTGCGTCCACCAGGAGGTGCTGTTAGTACCACAGGGCCCTCAGCATCAGGGACCCAGTGCACACAGTCCATAACGCACAGTGTCTCAATCTGGGGGAAGACGGGACAAGACTGTGAACAGACAGAGGTCAGCTTGTCAACATGAAACAGCAGTATTAAGGGTCATTGCACATTTTTCTAATTATTCGTAGCAGTTTAAACTCTTATGGGGTCTGGAAGCCTTCAGTTTGGCGCCCTCAGATGGGGTTTTGCCTGAATTACATCAAGATTACTCAGTGTTGTACGGCACACAGCTCAGAACAGTTAAATCCCAGTTTACAAACTTTAAAATTCAGCACACATTAATAACAAGTAGGGCTGCACCGAAAAGTTGAAGCATTGACATTTGATTTTCTAAATCGGCATTTGTTTGTGTTGTTTACTCTTTTTGTTTAAACAAGGTATTCATGCATAGTTTCAAACAAAGATATATTTTGCCTAATAAAATTACTATAATACTATTTGTCGAATTAGATTCCAATTTGATTCATGTGATGGAAACATTTCTCATAACTTGTACAGTCCAAGTAAAAATGTGTTTAAAAAGATAGTTATCTTTTTCCTCCATTCACGACATGTTTTTATGAAACAAAATGTTTTTCTTCAATCAATATTTGTTGGCGTTCAACTGACATCATTATTATTAAAACTGTTTGCTCTTGCCAAATGGAGACAAGCACCTGTATCAATAGGAGTGTCTAGCAGCAAAATAACAGCAACATAAATGACATCTATCTAGCCATAATAACTCATTTTTTAAAGATGTCATTCACGTACGTCAGACATTCAAAGGTAATTCAAAATCCTACATATAAGCTTTGAATGTAAAATAAATCACATTCGGTGCAGCCCTAATAACAATTGATTTAGCTGATGTGTTTTTTAAAGCCTGGTTTTGATTGTTGATGCAATTACGTTTTCATTTCAGGAGCGCTAGGATTCTTTGCACCGTGTCTCTTAAATGGCACACATTGAATGAAGTTTTAATTACAATTGTTCAACAAGGTTACTGTTTTCCTCTAATTTTGTACATTTATGTATCAAATTCAACTACAATACATTGAATAGGAGGTTGTCGAGATCAGACCTTAGCCAAACACTCACTTCTGTGTTTGGCTCCAAATGCAGCGGCTTTACATTCTTCAGCGTTGTGTGTTTTTTCACATTAACTGTCTAAGGGTTTTACGATAAAGCTGCAGGATAAACAGCTTACAGGCCTGGTTACAGTATGACACCTTCTGTTGAAACGCTGTGATCAATACTAGAATTGTTTACATGGTTATTTGTTAGAGATGTTTTCTACATGCTGAAATGTGTTGTCTGAGATTTCACTACAGGGAATGAATTTAAAATATTTTTTTTTTACCTGAAAATGGGATTCTTTTATGCTGTTAAGAAGAAAAATGACCTGCATGTGTTTTGATCTAAACGTGTCCATAAGGGTAAACCCAACTCTAAAAGAAAATAAGGGAATATAACTGAATACTTCAGCTTGCAAAGAAGTGGAATAATGGTAACAATACATTTTCTTTGTCGTAGTTGTATAAAATACAATTATGTTTAATGTTGGCTGTTGTTTCTTTTGGCCATTAGATTTGACTATTCGAGAAATGTTTAACAGCATTTTTCCATTTGTTTACCAGTATTAATTTGGAGTCACTTTTGAGTAAGAGTTCAAACTGTCACAGAACTTCTTAACAGTATTTTTTTTTTTTACATGAAAGTTGGCTTTCATACATGGTTTTGTTTGTAACAGTATATTTTTTTCTACATCTCTAAAGCTTGAAATAATCATGAAATCATTTGTACTTAATTTGGTTAGTGCAATGTAAAAGTTATTTAAAAACGTTACTCTTTTAACAACATGAAAGATGGGATAATGGAGTTCAATTCAAAACTGTTGGTTCTTTTATTCTTAATTTTGCTGATCTGTAACATTCCTCTTTCATGTAAAGTCACGCCGAACTGCTTTCCAAAATTTGCTAATTTATGTGGCCTTGCTTCCACTAAAATGTAACGCACTGATTGGCTGAAATTGACATTTGAAACTTAATTAGGAGCGGCTTGGTTGACCAGATGTTTTCAAATGCAGTTTGATGTGTTATTATGCCATGCAAGAGATGATGACATAATGAGCAAAAACGTTTTATAAGATTTTATGTAATATGTTGCCATTGTCACGAGATTTTCATTTATATTTTTCCCAGCACAGTGCCTTTTTTATGTTTTTTCTAAACAAATGTATGACATGGCTTAAAAATGCATACTGCAAGAATAATGCATGAGTACAGACTAATTGTAAAAGTCAACTTTGAAACTGCCAATAATGTACACCCACCCTTATAAAGTATGCATAAGACATGCTTCCCTGTATCCTCTGTAGACCAGAATAACTTTTATATATTAATCAGTGTAATAAAGTTGTGATTATTCAATGTTCTTGTTTTGTTTCTGTTACTTTTACTCACTGTAAGGCTCAAATATGTGTTTTTAAATGTCAGGATATCACCTCACTGATTCAAAGTGTTGTTATTAGAGACCAGAGAGATGAGTGATAGGAAGAAGGGGCTCACTAACAACAAGTCATGACTTGGATTAGCCTCCTCACGTCATGGGAACATGTTTTTGGTTTCACATTATAGATGGAGCTTTTATTTCAGTCACTTCAAACCAAGTTATATGAGGACAATGTGACATGTTTTATCTAAATTTAAACTGTCACTCCCTTAAAACTTTTCCAAAGTGAATGTGTCTTATAAGTTATTGCTCTCCAACAACATATACGCTTTAACCCCCAAATAGGACACTCAACAAATCAGTTTTGTGTTACTTTTGCACTTATTTGTGTAACTTGACCCTCTGAAAATGTCAAACAAATTACACACAAAAGTGGAGCACAGAGTCCTATTCAGTACACTGCAATGGATTACTGCCTCAGCAGCTTACGGGCCATATTAATAGTTTCGACACAGTAAACACACTGTATGATACATCAGGTTTCCCATCCATATACATCCAGCAATGTATTTCTTTTTTCTCACAGGAAATGGTCTTTTTAATGCAAAAAAAAGTATATGCTAGTTTTGTTAATGTGTTGATAATGTGGTTTTTGATAATGAACCACATTGAATTGAGTTAATAATAGTTTTGGGGTGAGAGGGGAGAGAGTTGATGGAGAACATCTAATTATCTAAACATAATAGCTTAATGACAGAGAAAGTGACTAGATTCTCTTAAGTGCACTTATGAAACTGCCAGTCATGTGTGTGAACAAATGTGTAAAATCTGAAGTAATCTGCTGTACATAAATCTCAAGGTTATGATACAGATAGATTGCAACAGTGTTAGTTTATATTGTTTCCAATAGAAAGTAAACACTGCTCAGTAGGCTATATAAATGGGTAATACATTTATTTATTTAATCGTTTATTTGGCAGGGACAATGCACAGTAATGAACACTTAAAATGTGTCAAGCGTAACAGTGCCAGATTTAGCTTTGAGCTCATTTCCATCCGCAGTCCCTCACATAAAACATTTAAGAAGTTTACATTTTACAAACACAGCAAAAACAAAATACATGATATGCAAAAGGTGCAAAAGAGCAAGAGCAGCACCCACAAGTATTTATGACATGGTAATACAATATAGCAGCAACGACATATAAAGTGCAAGAGGAGATACAAGAGATGCATGAAGTGCAATAGGAGATACCCTTGTGTTAAAGTGCATTTAGCGGTGATTGCACTTCTGTTTGTTTCTCAACCATTCTTTGAGTTGACCTTTAAAACTATTGAGAGTGGGACAATCCCGTATCTCAGTTGGGAGGCTATTCCACAATGAGCTGCCTTTTTAATGGAGAGGACATTTTGTCCAACAGTGGTCCGTCTACGGTGGACTTCACAGTCTCCTCTGGTTTCTGACCTAGTGCAGCGTCCAGTGTGTTTTTTGTGGATGAATTCCCCTAAGGGAGGGGGGGCCAGTCCATGTAAACATTTATAAATAAAGCACACACTTTTAAAATACTTAAAATTGTCAAAGCTCAAGAAATTGTCTTTTTCAAGGATGGTACATTGGTGATATGAATAAGGCTTTCTGTCAAACACCTTGGTAGCTCTCTTGTACAGCTGTTCTATTGGTTTCAGGTTTGTGGCACAAGCAAACGACCAGTTTGTCAAACAGTATTCAATATGGGATAGAATCATACAGTGGAGGTATCACTTAGCAGCATTGACAGTTAAGAAGGGTCTAATTTGTTTAACATGTTGCAAGTTGAATTTAATCGTATTGGATATTTTCTTGATATGTTTCTTAAAAGTCAAGTTTGAGTCCAGTATGACTCCAAGATATCTGAAGTGGGAGACTAGTTCTATTTCTGCTCCGTTTAAAAACACGTTGGATCCTTCAATTTTGACTGGTCGTTTACTGAACATCATGCATACTGTTTTTCACATCTTTAATAATGACATTTAAAGGATATGTTTAACACTTTTCAAAACAAGACAACATGTTTACAGGGTTTAACCCAAATAAAAAAATTATATAATTATTAATTATTTAATAGAATTATATTTATATTTAAGCATTATTTTTAACTTGCACTATTCATCATCATGTTCAAACCTAAACCACAAAAACAGACCATGTAACAGTAATTTAAATGCCAGGGGATCAAATAAGGATTCTCCTAATTCATTTAAGGTATTTTTTCTTGTATCAAATAAGGATTCTCCTAATTCATTTAAGGTATTTTTTCTTGTAAGTGTTTCAGTTTATCATGTTTCAACTCAAGTCGTTAAAAAAAATTATGTCGCCATTTTCATATTTAATAACAATTCAAGTGAGCTGAGATCAAAGACTTCTATTGTCAGTTGTTGTGCAAATAATAAAGAAATGTCTACTTGCTACTGAAATTGAAAAAAGAAAACAAGTACATAACACAGACCATGTAACATTCATTTAAATGCCAGGGGGTTAAATAAGGATTCTTCTAATCTATTTAAAGTATTTTTTTTAGTGTTTCAGTGTAAACCGCAGTACGACTGTGTTTAGCCATAATCAGTTGCTGAGACACGTGGACGCGCAACAGGGTTGTGCACACGCACGTTCAAGTAGAGTTGGACCCACATGCTCGTCCGCAGAGCCCAGTCAGCATTTGACTCAGTAGTGGCAGCAGGGGATCTAGGATTTCCACTTGTCAGATATAACTCCCCGTTACCGAAATCCAGTGCAGCCAAAATGTCAAAGTTGGACCAGATCCTTGTCCTTGACCCTCCCGTCGACCTCAAATTCAAAGGTAGGTAAATCAACATTTATTGGCGTGGTGACGGAGAATTACCTGAGTTGAACGATTTCACACTCCCTCTAAGCAAATTTCGCTGCTAGTAAGCTAGCTAGCATTAACCGCCATTTTAAGTTAGCCGGGGAAAGAGACAGGCCGCTGTTTCCTCCTCGAGCTGTAGTGACGTGGAACGCCGGCGTGGCGAGCCTCTTGACCGGCTGCCATTAGTGACCTGCTGCCTGACAACACCTAGCAACGAGAGGTGGAAGAATGTGTGATAACTGCCTGGTGTTGTTAGCTAAAGTGAACACATAACGAAGTATCCTTAGTATAAACGTGAGCTACTAACGTTATGCTGTGGCTACAAGGTGTTAGCAACTGTTGTTTCTTTGGGGCTCAGCCTACCCTGAAATGCTTAGCACTCGGACGTAATGTTGAGTTAAATTCACTTTTTTAGAGATAATTGTAGTGTCCAACCCGACATTTGTCATGTTTAACGTGTGAAGGAACTGACCGGTGGAATGACAAACTTTGCTAACTGACGTTAATAACGAAAGCAACATTTAGTTAGCTCATTCAAGATTCAAAGGCTTTATTGTCATCAGTGGTGGCACAAGTATTCACATTCTTTACTTGAGTTAGAGTACTAATACCACACTGAAAATACTACCTTTCAAGTAAAAGTACTGCAACGAGAATGGTACTTAAGTAAAAGTATAACAAGAAAAATGTACTTAAAAGTATTTGGAGTTAAAGTACTCCTTGCCGAATAAACAATATACATATTTTAAATGTGTTAAAGCTAAAGCAGCAAATCTTCACATTTAAGAAGCTAGAACTGTGAAACGTTTTTTAAGAAGCAAGAAAGCCTAGCATAACTGCTGCCACTTAATTTTCTGTTAACCCACTCATGGTGTTAGTTACTTGGATATAATGTTGAATGATTTAATGTTTTTTTAATTGTTGTGTGTGAAAATCTGAACTTTTAAAGGAAATGGCGAATACATCTGTAAAATAAATATAGGGTAGTAAAAAGTACAAAATTGGCTTCCAAAATCTTGTAGAATAGGAGCAAAAAGTACCATGAATGTGGACTAAAGTATAATACTTGAGTAGATGTACTTGGTTACTTTCCACCACTGATTGTCATATGAACAGTAGGTACAGTGTAGTAATGGCATTACATAGATTAAGACCCAGGCTCCTCCAACAATGCAGGAAGGAATAACATAATATAAATTGAAAAGTGCAAGATAATGTATCAGGACTAATGTGAAAGTAAATGCAGGAGAAGTTAAATGTATACATGTAAAATTGAATAAGCTAAACAATTGAATGTACAATTAAATACTGTACTGTGACATAAAATACTGCTTATTGTAATAATAAATACAAATGTGAGATGCAAACAGATGAGGGTATAAGGTTGTGTTATAGAGTTCAGGAGTTTTAAGTCTCATGGTTTGTGGGTTAAAACTGTCCCTCAGTCATTTCTTTTTTGGTTCTCCATGTACAGTCAGCCAAGTATTCTGGTTAAATTGTGTTAACAGACAACCTTACAATAACAGTAAATCAAAGCAGTCCACACATTAGATCACCACTGATTGTTTGCCTGTCCATGATAACGTTCATTGATGTGTCAGTGAACTGTTGGTCATATAGCTTGGCTTGCTTGCTAATGCAAAAGTTGATATCCAGCTAATGCTCTAGCTAGATATTTAGCTAGCTGCTCTACAAGCCAGTGGTGTAAAGTAACTCTATATTTACTCAAGTACTGTACTTAAATACAATTTTGAGATTCTTGTACCTGACTTTAATATTTCAATTTTTAGCTGCTTCGTACTTCTACCCCACTACAATTCAGAGGCAAATAATGTACTTTTACTCCACTACATTTATTTAATACCTTTTAGTTAGTTTGGAGATTTGTAGAAAATAATGTTTAATATTAACAACCCTTTTAATAAGACTTTATTTACACCTGGAGTAACATTCAAAAGCTAATACAAAATAAAAACTAGCTGCACCTCTACCAGCTGTATGTAACTCTGAAATGGACCAATTTCCATAATGAGTACTCATACTTTTGGTACTTTAAGTATATTTTGATTCTAATAGTTGGGTACCTTTTACTTGAGTAACATTTTTTATTACATTTTTACTTGTAACAGAGTATTCCTATACTGTAGTACTTCTTCTTTTACTTGGGTACAAGATCTGAGTACTTCTCCAATCTCTGTTTACGACAAACTTTGTTTAGCATTTTGCAGCTGAGTAAAAGTAGAATAAAAGTCCTGAATTTAAAATCTTATCAAAACATACTTAAAGTACTGATGTGTGTATACATTTTGCATCATATAAATGACTTGATTATTATTACAGCTGGTTAAAGTGTTGCTACATTTAATTACTTTATGTACTAGTGGATATACTAACCTTAATATTTATATATCACAGTTTATTTATTAGTTTATGCATATTTTGTATTAGCTTATAATTTGAAAGTGATTAGTAACCAATTTAGTCGAATAAATGTTGTGAGTACAATATTGGCTTCCAAATCGTAGTAAGGTATAAACATAAGGTACCATCAAATACAAATACTCGAGTATAGTACAAGTACCCCAACAGAGTACTTGAGTCAATGTACTTCAATACATTACACCACTGTTTTGAGGACATTTCTCATGGCTTCAGAAACTCCCATAGCTTAAGTTTCAACTGTTGCTCTTGTTATAAGGTGACCATTACAAGTAATTGTGATAACAGATAACAGCTGTATTGTGCTGATGTAAGTGCAGTTTCAGGGAAGCTAGTCTGTCAAAACCACGGTGTTGTAAAAACATTCCTAGCAGTTGAAGGATTTATCGTGAACATTATTAATTTCAATCTAGAATTATTTAACTTTAATTGCATTTGTCCCAGTTTTGAGTCTCCGCTGCAGACTTATTTTTTTCAATAAGGCACTGTTTTATTGTTGATGAATGCAGCACTGTCATTGAACCACAAATCTTTCAACCCATTTTCTTGCTGACTAAAGGCTGACTGTTAGTTAGGACTAGGTATACTGATTGTAGCCTGGACATGACAGGGCTGTAGGAAAGGTCACCAGTTCAAATGCCAGATAATACACAGCAAAATAGCTTCGGGTGGGGGGGGAAGTCACTGAGATGTTTTAGGGATGAAGTGTCCGATTTGAACTTTACACCTCTTAAGAACACAGACCGAGAAGAAGCAAGAAAGCCTTTTGTTGACCCAAAAACATGCAAATATTTTCTCTACTTTTCTTTAAATTGAACAACTTTATTTTCCAGTTAGAAAAGATTATAATTTCTGCTACTAGTAAGCCTGACCGCGTCATCGGGTATAGGGTTTGGGGTGATGAATGGAGCATGCCAGTCAATGGAATTTGAAAGGGACACAGCTTAAACAAAACTCGTGATAAGTTGACTTTAAAACTAGCTAGTTGAAATGTTAAGAGTAGTGGTGACTTGAGCATCTGTTCAATCTAGAGTGCAACAGCTTAATAGCGCTTGATCAGACATCTTCAATGAAATGTTGTTACGGATACATAACTAACTCAAAAATTAAAGCCTTATACAAAAATTAACGTTTGTCCTTCAGCCAAACCCTAGGTTATTTTTAACATTTAGTCTGATGGCAGAAACGTGGCCTGCCATGATCTGATCATGTCATGGAATTCCTCCTTTTTATCGGATAAACAAAAAATGTTTCCCCCAAAATAGACTTTTTCTGATTTGTCACAAGGTTTACATTTTCTGTACATCGGGCAGGTTAAACTTTTACCCTCCATTTACTCACTGGAATAGATGCAAGGTTGAGTTGCTAAATTATCGTTCATTGATCATAATTTATTAGCTCATATTCTAAACCATTTTACTGAGAAAAAAACTATTGTAATCTAAGAAATTAGAATGGAAATGATAATGATATTATTAAATAAAAATGCAAAATGTTGCAAAACTGACTTGGAGCTACACCAGTGCTGCATCAGCTTAATTTATAAAGGTTTTCTGTAGTCAAGGTGGGTTACAGAGGAAAACGAAATGGTGTCTATTTAGTCTTTGAGAAGCAATATGAGTAGAAGAAAGATGACCACCTCTCCTTTACTGTCACTGAGGCCGATCTAAATTGGTCTGCTTGTATATCCAAGAGCTGCTCTGCTTTAGAGCCTCTGCTGGGAGTCCTCCAGCAAGCTAGAGGGGGCAGCCCTCCTTTCCTTAGCTGGTATTTTTAGATAAGGACAGGCCTGGGGGACCCTAACTCAGCTTACAGGCAACGAGATGAGAGAGACAGTGCTAACGCTGCTGGAGCAAAGTTGGCTTCTCAGATTTAAGCAATGGATGCAGGTTATGTGGGTGTATATCTGATGTGCACAACTGCTTTACAGACTTATCTGTTTTAGTAATACTCGCCACAGACTTTCTACACATTACTTCAGACAACCTTAAATTATTCCCTGCATAGTTTGGAGGGATGGATGATGAGCTGTAATTATCATACATGTACTTTTGCTCCGTCAGTCATGTTTTTTTTTTTTACTTCCCTCCTTACTCATTCAAAAAAACTCTGGGCTTAGACTTACACAATGGCACTTTGTCAACAATAAGGGTCAATTGACAGGTAACAGGTAAAACATTGCATCTTGTGTATGGCAATCACACGTCAGCAAGTGTATATAAGCAGTACGTTAGTTTAAATAACCTGGTTAGGTCACAGCAGGAAGCTCCTCGTATCTTCTGCCATTCGTTCGATAAAAAAGACATACAGGAAAAAGTAAGCTGTTGGAAGCAGGGATTGTTCCTAGAAATATCAGATGTTGCAGAGAATGTTTTTCAGGTTTGTAGGAATGCCTTTGTGACGCACTCGTGTTCAAACAACGCCTTCAGTCATCACCAGAACTCTGCGTGTGAGCTTTAACTGGCTGGAGCCTCTCCTATCGGGTCATGCTTCACTTCTTATCTTTATAAACACTGGAGCTAAGGGAAGGTTGAACATAGGCTTTGTGAACTCAGCTATAACCAAGCTATGACATGTTTTGAAATGTTTTTATGGTTTAAAACAAAGCAGAAGATTCTGAACTCACCATCATATTTTGAATGGATTGATTCTGAAGAAACTATGTATGAGGGTGTGCATCTTTCATAATTTATTTTGATTGTTATTCTTAGGGTCATGATTTCATTCAATATCAATCAGATGCTAATATCAGGAGAAATGAAAGCTGAGTAAATTGTTCATGTACACACACAGGCAAAAGATACAATTATTCATACGCACAAATAAACTGTTTGATCATGTATTAATTCTCACTTATTTCAAGACTAACAGGTTCATGTTCTGTCGCCGGCTAGCTGCAGTTTTATTTTTCACGTGGGGGAGCTCAGATTCTGGTTACTGAGAGAACTTTATGCATCACTTCTTTGAGCGATGTGTTAGCTGACCTTCGTTAGCCCAACAACCAGTGATTGCCTGTCTGTGTCATGCAAAACACTTTTCTCAATAAAAAAAAACCTGCATCTGTTTTATCTGAACCAAACCAGTTCTTGCTCCAAAATCAGTTTTGTTTTTTGATGACCTGACAACTGCAGTGTTTTCCTTTTTTTAAATTGTTCCACTGTGAGTGAAGTTCTATGAAACCAACGTTTATATTAGAAATTGTGACATCAACATAAAAACTTGACAGGTGAATTTCAAATGATGTAGAAGGCAAAACCGTTTGACTTCACCGAAGACATTATGTAACCATGCATCATGGGATATTTTTCTTTCCAGACTTCAACGCTAATTCCGCTACTGATCGAGTTTTATTCATCTTGACATCAAAAGCTTCACTATATGGCTCATCAAAGCTGGATGTTGTTGACCGTGGTTAAGGTCTTAATTTGAAGCGAGTTCTGTCACAAGATGTAGAGCTAATCAATGATCTCCTGATGTACAACCTGTGCAGGACATGATCATAATATTTGTTTGAGTCTCATGATCTTCCTGATCGGCTCATGCTAAGCTTTGCATGTGTAGGCAGTGTTTCCGCCAGACTAGGGCTGAGAGGGCGTCCACCCCCGAGAGCGGGGGGGGGTGTTTTGAATTTTGGGTTGAGCCGTCCCTTTATAGATACTGTATTTTTACGTTAGTGAGCCGGATCATTTGGCTCGGCTCTCTTAAAGCGCCGGCTGTTTCGGCTCCCAAACGGCTCTTCATGTTACCACAGTTTACCACGGAGCCTCAGTTTCGCCGCTGCGAGGCTCTGGTGCTCGCAGCTCACGCGCGTCCACTAAAACCCCCCCCGCTCATCGCGTCCAAATCGCGCACGTTCCGTGTTGTCCTGTAGCAGGCACCTTCGATGTCGGGGAAACAATCTTCAATACTCCGAAAAGAATCCCACCAGACTCCTTTGCCCCTCCAACAGAGGGATGTCCTTGTCCTTTTTCCTTTTCGTCATTTCAAGTGATAAAAACTCTCCATCTTCTCTCAAATTATTAATATTTTTGGACGCCCTCGGATCGAGTTCAGGGCGTCCCGAGCCTAATAAGGGCGTCAAATGACGGCAAGACGCCCCCCTGGCGGAAACGCTGTGTGTGGGTAATACAATAATCAGGCACGAAAGTTCAGTGATTTGATAATAATATTAGGTTTTTTACAATTGTAACAATGCATTTCCTTAAACGAGCTGCTCTCAAAAATGTCTTTCAAATGAGTTGTAAGTAGCTGGAAAGTCTTCAGTAATACTCCAACCAAGTAATACATGAGTATTATCATGAACTTTATAGACTAAAGGAGTCTTTGATGTTCAAAGAAGTAACACTGGTATTTTATCCATTTTTAGTTTTTCCTGGTGTTTCTTCATTCATAGCCTGTTTTAGTGTATTAACAGTAGAACCATCCAGCTTTAAACCTAGAAAGTGAGTATTCAATTAATCCTCTTACTTAATCATTTAGGCCTTTATTGAGTTGCGGCCTGACCATATTTTTCAGTTAATCTTTTTTAAGTACTTTTTTAACCTTGGCAAAAACATTGCAGGCCTTATGTGTGTTTAAGGGATAAGGTTTAACTTATACATATTGAATTTACTCAGGAAGGTGGTGTTGATTGAATTTGAACATGCAGTTCCAATGTTAACATGCAACGTATTTCCCCTTTGTTTTTTTGCATTCAAAATTGACAAAAAAAATGTGGATCCATTGCAATTTAATAGGGATACAACATGTTGATTGTTGCTAACTACCAATACAAAGTGTGCGGCTTCAAAAACTTGGTGGGCGGGCTTTGTCACATATGAGAGTAGCTGCTCCATCTTACAGTTGTGATGTGTTCCCTCACGAGTAGGCCTGTCACAATAATACATTTTGTTGGACGATACATTTTCCCGGAAATTATTGCGATAAACGATGATATTGTCGGCACCGTTGTCAGACCATTTTAGATCACTGACATAATGATAATATGTAATAATAAATGAAGTACATCCTTTCAAACAGAACTTTTTTATTGAACATTCAACATGGCAAATGAAATATTCAAATATATAAATTATAAAACATTTATTAAGTCACACACAACCAAAACAATACATTAAATAGACTGGCTGGAAAACAGATCTCTCTCTCTCTCTCTCTCTCTCAAATACATTTATATATATATATAAATAAATATGAGCACACAATTTCTCACAAGCACACAAAAAACTCCTTTTTAAAACAACAGTCAAGTGTACAGTCCACTGTCCATACAAAGACCCAGATGCCTCAACAGGCCATATCCAAATCTGTATTTCAAAGTTTTCGAGCAAGGAACACCAACAACATGTTTGAATTGTCGGGCAAATGCTTCTTTGATTTTAAACTGTCGGGAAGGTGGGGCTCCAGCTGCCGTGTTTGCTCCCAGCTGGGAAAACGGAATGGGGTGGTTGTGTTTCAGGTGCAGTTTAAGGTTGGTCGTATTGCTAGCTTTTGTTGCTACCTTTTTAAAACAAATGCGACATACCGGCTCATTCAAGTCCGTAGGTTCGCCTCGTTGATTTGGCTTAAATCCGAAATATTCCCACACCCGAGATGGAGTTAGGTTTAGCAACCAATTGCATTTAACTTCAAATTCCCATCGAGTAAGTCACACGTTGTCTCCTGCTTGTCTCTAAATTATTCATTTGGCTGCTACACTGCTGCACGCGGAGTGTCCTGACCTGGCTGTGTGTGTGAGCCCCGCCCCTCACCGGCAGTCACAGCGCACCTGACTAAAATGCTGGTAACACCCTTATGTAAACAAACACGCATGTAAACGGCAATTTATCGAGGTCCGAAAAGTTATCGAGTTCATTTTTATTTATCGTACGATAAGTCAATTAATTGCTTATCGCGACAGGCCTACTCAGGAGAGAGTACTCCAAATACAGAAATAGTAATGCACTTGTGTTTGTCTTTCTTTTCCTACCAGGTCCTTTTACAGATGTAGTCACCACCAACCTCAAACTGAAGAACCCCTCTGACAGAAAAGTCTGTTTCAAAGTGAAGACGACTGCGCCGCGCAGATACTGTGTACGGCCAAACAGTGGTGTCATTGATCCTGGAGCAACTGTCATTATCTCTGGTAAGTTTTTCAGATGTTTGTATTTATTACCTGCCTTTTTTCTGTAAGTTTAGGGAGATGGTGGGGAAACCTTTGAGGGAAACTGTCACGAACATTTAGCAAAATGGGTCACAGTTCAAGAAGGTCAGACGCTCAGTGGAAGCAGTTTTTACCCAGTCAAATCCACAGTCCATCATTGGACTCTCCAATTACCAAATTTGACAACTTTCCGTTTTCTTTCATAAAAATGCAGAATCATTTCAAAGTATTTTACATACAATATCGTATTAATATATGAAACTAAGGGTACTGAAACATAAGCTGACTTATTCATCAAAACAAATTAGACATGTAAGATTGGAGAATAGTTGTCTACCTTTAATGATGCCTTAATGCAGTGAGGACGGTAAGGTGAGCAAAGTTGAAGTGGAACAGTCTTTAAGGAAACACGATTTAAAACCTCCGCACCTATGGGCAAAGCTAGGTTTTCATTCAGCTCTTTAAGGGTCGAATTGGCCTCAACGGAGCTACTGAAACTCTGTTTATTGGTTTATCGACTCGTATTAAGGGCAGTTTCCTTGGCCAAATTGGTGAAATGTAAAGTTTCCTTCAGTAACTGCTAGGGATGCTCCGATCGATCAGTCGGTGCTCTCTATAAAGGCCGATCAGGAGAGCCGATCACATGCTGTAAAATACATGACACTTTTCTCTGTGCGGCAAAACAAGCTCACCGGTCTGCCAGTATTTTAAGGTGTCCGAAAAAGACAGTAAAATAGCGGTATGCAATGTGTGTGAAGCAGAAATCCTGCAGCTCCGCCCGCTGTGACGGACCGGTGAGCGGAGCAACACACACTGAGAGTTAGACCTAACACACTTAGCTATTTCATCTACCTCTGGAACAAGCTAAACTAGTTATACATATGTTTATTCTTCACTGTCGGGTCACTCATTACTGGATCAGTGAGCTGCATGAGATACTGACAGGCTGCCAGGAGAGAGAGAGAGGGAGAGAGAGAGGAAAAGAGGGCGCTTCCGCTCATTTCTCCCGTGTTATTATCCAAAGTTAATGTAAACTTGAATAATGTACTTCATTTGAATCTAATAATGAAGTTGTTTGTGGAAGCGCATCATGTATTCATCGAACTTTTCGATCCGTTACGATTATAAACTGAAGGAATATAAAAATGAGCCCCATTAACTGAGTTTTAAACATCACTTTAAATGGAAGATCCCCATAGCCCCCACCCACCCGATCGGATCGGTATCGGCCCCAAAATTCCCGATCGGAGCATCCCTAGTAACTGCAGACTGCTTAAATAGCTGTAATGCGCTTTAATGATAACATTGAAATGTCCAAGGGTAACCTCTTACACTGCTCCTACATCCTGATCCACTTGTCTTCTGTCCTAGGGTTTTTGACAATATCAAAAATATGACTGTGAAGCATTACCTGCCTAAAGTTCATTCTAAACTAAAAAAGTGCCATATTTTGTCTGGGAGTCAGATTTTTCTAAATAAAACACTTTCATTCTTTAAGTACCAAAACTAATAAAATGGGGGTATTGTCCCGGTATCCCAGAACCTGATTAGCATCGGTATTCTGTGCAACACTTCTCTGCTCGGCATGTTCCAAACATTTGTATTATATCCAGAACGAGGACATAATACTCTGGTCATGTGTGAAGTGATTAAGGCAGCTACTTAGTAAACACATTGCCATTGTACTTTGTAAATGACCTTAACTCAAGTGGCAGCTGTAGCTTTTATGTTGAACATAGACATTTTATTCACCTTTTTATTACATTTAGAAAATAAAATGTTAACGTTTGTCAGGAGATAATAATATGATCCAGTTAAAGAAAAACACATTGTGGTGATTTTAACTTTTATTTATCAGGATTATTTATTAGATAGCCTTCGATCTTCGATGTGGGAGGGATGTACCGTTTGAGATTACCATAGACAATTGTTATTTCCTGTCCTGATGAATTATGCTAAATATTTAATTTACAACTTCTTCTACGCAGGGATGCCTTTACCTAAATGTTTTAACTGTGATCATTGTTTCTTTTACAGTTATGCTACAGCCCTTTGACTATGACCCCAATGAGAAAAGTAAACACAAATTCATGGTGCAGACCATTTTTGCCCCATCAACTGTTTCTGACATGGATCCATTGGTAAGTGTTTTTATTTACTTTAAGACTTTTCTTTTAAGTTGTTGTTTAAAATCAATATAGCACAACATCGACTTATCTTGCAACAGTTGTGTCACTAACCTTCTTATTGTTTGAAAAGTCTCACACCTTCTTAAGCTTTGAGATGATTCAAAAGCTAGAAATATCTCTGGGTTCCTAAGGTGTACATCTCGGCTCCCAAAAAAATAAGGAACCAAACCAGTCGCATTAAAAACAATTATTCAAACAAAAGCTTGAGCAACTTTGATTTGATAGATTATTACCAAATGGGTCAATAAATGTCTTCCTGGATTAAAAAAAGAAGAAAAAAGTATCCAAAATACAGTATGTTATATTCTGCAGTTTACAGTAAACTCAAAATAAGTCTTCTATTTGATAATAAAACAGACCAATGGTAACATAACTCCATTGTTTACACTGAAAACCCAATTTCAATTGTTTATTGATCCATTTAACTTATTTCATACAGTTACAACTTGGTTGTTATTAAATAAAATAATCTGTAAAATATACTATTTCATATTTAAGTCTCGATCTCTCCCAGTGTAACCGTAGCACTGAAACCTGCCAAAAGGACATCTATCATACTTTGGTCAGTAAATACAATGTGAAACCCTAACTTCCACTCAACATGTCACTTTAAATATTCTACAGGACTTTCCAAAAACAGGTTATTAGTCTTTTTGACACCACTACTAATTATGCCTAAATCAGTTTACATATAAATAAATAAGAAATCTGAATGTTGTCCTCATTTATGACAGGATAATTGGCATTCTAGTGAGTTGGCATGCAAAGCTCTGTGCTCTTAGATAAGGCTGCTATGGTAAAATAACAAAGAAGCAGTGATGCATTCTGGGTTGTCCACCAGAGGACAGCATAGGCTTAGTCATGCACTGAAACATTCACATGAAGTCATGTTCATGAACTGGCTTGTCTTGGATGAGGAGCACAACCAGGAAGGAACAACGTTAGGACTGCTCCTCAAAAGTCAACTGGAATCTGGAGTTTTCTTCAGGAACATTAGTTTCACTGATCTGTGTTCTATATTGTGACACAAAAAGATATCTTACCGTAAAGCAACCCTGGGCTTTACAAGCATGTTTAATACCAAGCACCTTTGTTATTCAGTTTATAAAACAACACATGTCTCAGATGCCAGGAGCAGACCTAAAACCAATGAAAATATGTACTTGTTTTTTTGTTTTAGAACAAAAAAACGTGTGTGTGTGATATCCAGCTGCTAGCAGTTTGAGTTGATGAATAACATGCTCATTTTTCATCTCCACCAGTGGAAAGAGGCAAAACCAGATGATCTCATGGATTCCAAGCTGAGATGTGTCTTCGAGCTGCCTTCTGAAAACGATAAAGTGGTAAGAGGTGCTGCCGCACATTAAAAACGGCTTACTTTCACATAATCAGAATCTGAAGTGTGATTTAGTCGCTGAAGGACACATTTTGAATACTCAACTTTCAACATTTGCAGAAAACCAAATAATTCCATAAAGGGAAAAACGTTGGAGGGAAAATCCACAGCTATAATATCAATGAAGTATAGGGTGCCGTTCTGATGAGAATCCCGGCCTATGTTTAATTGTTTAAAGAAAATACAAAACCGTAGCTTCTGGTTTTCTTTCCCTCTAATGTAAGTGTTTCTGGTTTACTCTTGACTCCAGGTCCCTCTGTCAGAGTTTAACAAATGTGCCTTCTGCACTGCATTTAGCATTTTAGCAGATAATGTCACTTGCTGCCTAAATCAAGCGCTCCAGTGTGAATACCAAGTGCAGCTGCATAGAAAGCTTTCTATTTTTGCATCAAGCCCTAGTTCAGAGTCAAATAAGTCGTGTGTTCACAATAAAATCGATGGTTTAGACTATTATTGAGAGACGTGGTGAACCCTTGCTTCTTAAATGTAATTTAAAAAAAAAAAAAATTGCATTTAAATTCAATGTGTTTCTTATGATTTGCCAATCCCTAAGTCAAACATGACACACACCAACTTAACCTTAAGTGTTTGCAAAAAAGCTAAATACATTTTATCACATGCCGTTAAAGGTGGATTGCATAAATGTTTTCTTAGTTAACAGGCTACACTGTGAATTCTAGGAGCCTGTAATAATGAGCTCTGTGTTTTCAGGATTTATATAAGCAGCCGAACAGCTCAGCAGGTCCTCACAGTTGAGGTGAAAATTCAACCAGAGCAAGCCAGATTTAGCTTACGTTAAGAGGCTCTACAAGTGAGGATATATGGACTGCTGAGGCAACACGGTATCTGCTCTCTGCTGTGGCACGTGGAGCTCCTAGATGATGAGAAAACTGTTAAAGAGCAACTTGCAGGTTTTTTTTTTATTACTACATTTATGCTTAACCTTGCCTGAAAATTACAATTAAAAAAGTTAATGCAGGATTTGATATGTTTTACAAGACATAAGGGCAGGAATTCAGAGGGAAAGGAGCCGTTTTGAGCTCTGCTACTAAAAACTGTTTTTTTTTTAACGTCAAACGCGTCATATTACGTCACATGGGGGAGCAACTTTCTCGGACTCGTTCTCTGCCCAATCCGCGGTAGTAGTTTGTAGTTGGTTTGAGCGGTTGTGTTTTAGTGAGCTTGTATTGTTTCGGTAGTTTTACATTGTATTTCACCATTTGTAATCATGGTGAGCTTGTGTTTGTGCAGGTTGCACAAACTCAAGCCTGTCAGGACGTCGAGTCCACAGTTTCCCTCACGGGAAAAGGACCGGAGCTAGCGTTCGTTCCTGGGTGCGTTGTGCATCCACCTCCCTGCAGCACATACTCGCAGCTGAAGCCTATCAAACAAAACGTTTATCTTATTAATTATTATCTTATCTTATTATAAAGCACATGACATGAGGTACTTTAACACAGAAGACATGTTGGTAAACGTACAGGCGTATACACATACTCCGATATAAAGCTCAGCTTTAATCAGCTGATAAGGCTTCATGGTCCTGTTCCTGCTACAAGTCAACATGTCTGCCGTAAAAAAAGTCTATTGAACTTCTTCCATCAGGCAAAGTAAGATATAAAATAGACAGGTAAAGAGAAAAGGACAACCTTTAAAGCAATCGAAGCTTCATATTCTTGTTGGATGTTTGCTGTGGAGTCGCAGCTTAATTCCTGCACGGGCACCAAAAGCGAACTTTGTAGTCACGGCACATAACCTTTCTCTGGTCCTTGTTGCGGCTAACAAATCCCTGAGTCGGACTGAAGCTGAAAAACAATACCAATTATTAAATGAATCAGTTCGATAGTTATATGAAGAAAACCAATTTTAAAAGCAAACAAAAATTGGATATGATGCTTAGACCATAATTCATGTTTAGCTCTGATATAAATCCAATATAGTTTGTTAAAGTACATTGATAAATAAACCTCTACAACCCTTTCAATTATCATAATTGTTCTTGTTGTCAGGTGGAACTTTGTTTCTAATATTAAATATCTCAGATATCCACAATGATCATTTGAAATCATTCAAATGTCTTCTAATATAAATTAAATGTCCATGTACAGAGTTTCTATTCACTGTTATAGGTGTAGCTCCAGGCAGCACATGTGGGTGACTTGTAAGGAGTTTTTAATGTTCAGAAGTACCGATGTATTCATGGGATGTGGTTAAATAATCATTTGCATTATTTCAGTGAGGCAACTTACATATAGAAGTTCTCCCCTATGGAGATGGCTGGAGTCATCTTGTCCGTGGTAACGACCTCAATGTACAGAGGGTATTCACAGATCTTTCCTGGGTTTTCTTTCCTAAGGTTACTCAAAAGCTCCCAGTCCCCTGAGCCACTGGGATTGTCACGGTCAAACCAGTCGGTCCAGCACACTGCAAGGAGCAATAAACGAGTGAGAGGATGATTGTGTAGGAAGCTGTAAAACTCTCCTAAATGAATGCTTATTCAAGAGAGTGTTTATACAGTGTGGTGTGCTCTTACCTCCTCCACCACAGAAAGGGGGATGGCAGTTGAAACGAACACGGTAGTCATTGCACATCTTCTTTTTGGGTTGATCAACGTTTCTGCAGACGAATCCTGAAGTGGCGTCATTTCTGAAAAGAAAAAGTTTAGTCCAGATGGAAATATCTCCCAAAAATGTTGATTGTGTGCCATGGGGATTCTGTACAGACATTCCTATTCCCTGCAGGATAAATGCTTTCTTATTTTTTAGGCTTTTCCTCCAGTGCCAACATGAAGTTGACAAGAGCGGTTTTGAGTGTTTTAACCAACAGATTGAATGAATATGCGGTTGCATTCAGTTAACGCATTCATTTCCCCCGCAGGAATAAGTGTACATATTTTCCGGACTACAAGTCACACCTGAGTATATGTCGCTGTTGTCCAAAAACGTGTCGTTAAGAGAAAATATATAGAAGTCACTTCGGTGTATAAGTCGCATTTATCCACTGTGTTCATCCTCTGTGTCGCTGTGAAGCTCTCACTAGTCTCACCGACAGGGCCGTCCTTCCCTACAGGCCGATCATGCAGACTATGTGGGGCCTCACATTGCGGAGGGTGCCTCAACTGAGCAGAAAATGCGGCGCACCTATGCGGCGCAAATAGTGTGGCGCAGCAAGCTTTGTCCGCGATGATGATCCACTAGCACCCCCCCCGCCCCCGTC